GGAGGAGGAGGAGGAGGAGGGGAGGAGGAGGAGGAGTAGGAGGAGGAGGAGGAGAGGAGGAGGAGGAGGAGGAGGAGGAGGAGGGGGAGGAGAGGGAGGAGGGGAGGAGAGGAGGAGAAGGAGGAGGGAGGAGGAGGAGGAGGGAGGAGGAGGAGGAGGGAGGAGGAGGAGGAGGAGGAGGAGGGGAGGAGGAGGAGGAGGAGGAGGAGGAGGAAAAAGAGGAGGAATAATGGGGAGGAGGAGGAGGAGGAGGAGCCGGACCTGCAGCAAGAATTCGAGGAGCGGGAGACCAGGGGAAGCCGGAGGAGGAGAGAGGCTTTAGCGTGGCAAACACTGCATCGCGGCAGCGATTCTTGCACGGCCGAAGCCGTCCGGGCTTGAAAATCATGTCGAAGGTCAACTCGGAACAAGCCTGTGAACGAAAACATACGCGCGAAAAAAAACAGCGGAGGAAATTGAAGTCAGTACCGGGGAAGATAGAAGAGTAGTAACCTTGGAGTGGAGGGTGATTGCGAAGGGGGAGGACGAGGGGAAGAACGAGGAGGATGATGATGAGAAGGAGGAGGAGGAGGAGGAGGAAGAGGAGGAAGAGAAGGAGGAAAGAACATTGCTGAGGACTATGGTGACCCGGGCGCGCAGACATGCTGGATCCCCAAATCGACTTTGCCGATCCCCCCGCCCATCGTCTGCTCGACTCCGCTTGTGGCCGGCCTCTCCCCGCGTGGACCCCCGCTCTGCGCCGCCTCCTTCCGCGCGAGCCCCCCCGCGCCCAGGTGGGGGCGAGGCCCGCGGCTGGGCGGTGGACACGTAGCCCGCTGGTTCGGCAGCGCACGCGCTCGCTGGTTGCACCTGCCCCTCGGGAGCCAAGAGGACCTGGCGATCCACAGGAGAAGCCTGGCGCCGGGCCGGCCCCGCCGCGTCGCGGCGGCGAGGCTCGGCCCCGGTGAGGGCCCTGGCTGGGGCGATCCCCGGCGGGGCGAGACTTTGGCTTCCAGGGGCGGGCGCAGTGCCGACGGGAAGTGGATCGGGCTGGGGTGCGGTCGTCCCCCAGGAGGCCGTGCAGGTGCGCACTGGCAGCGGCACTCGTGCGCAGCAGCATGCACCTGGTGTGCATGGCCACGCTGCGCGGGATGCAGTTCAGGTTTTGGCCAGCAGCTCGCGGTAGACGTGGAGGTCCAGCTTCGCGAAAGCGCCTGCGATGGCGCCGTGGCCCCATGCCGCCAGCGGGTCCTCCGTGGGCCAGGGCACCGAGAAGAAGTCGAAACCTCGCAGGATGCGAACCTGGCGGTCGAAGCTGGCGCGCTTCTTCCATCCCAGGTCCATCTTACGGCTCCTGAGGGTCGCCGCCTTCCTGCGCGCTGGCTACGAAGCCAGCCAGCCCACTTGTGGCGCTCTGCGCTGGTGGTGGCCTTCGGTGTCGTGTCCCACTCGAGCACCGCTGGGACCGTCTTGACCTGTAGGCCATGGTCCCTGGCGCACGGGCTGCGCGTGGGCCTGTCGAGCTGGTGGGGCATGTCCAAGTAATCCTCGACCATGGCGAACCGAAGCTTGGAGGAGCCCCCCACGTCACCAGGCGACGCCCCGCGCTCCCACGGCCAGGGGTCCGCTTCCAGCTCCTGCGGGGCCGCCTGAGAGGGCGGCGGCAGGGCCAGCGGGTGGCGGCTGGGGTAGACCGCCTCCGTGATGGTGGCCCTTTTGCGCAGGCCCTTCACCCCGATGACGGTCGGCGAACGCGGGGCCAGCGGGGCTCCGCCAAGCGCGATAACCTCTCCAACCCTGCTGGCCATCGCCTCCGAGGCCATCCCGCAATCGCAGTCCCTCTTGCCGCGGGCGGCGCTCCCCGGGCGGACGACCACCCCAGACGCCTGCGTGGCCCAGCTGGCCAAGTTGTCGGACTCGATGTCCCAGCCTGCCAGGATGGCCCAGTGCCAGACCAGGCTGCCAACCCAGCTCTGCAGGGCCTCGAGCCCCTCGATGTCGCCCGTGGCCCCGATGCTGTTCACTATGCAGACCGGGAGGGTGTAGATGGCAATGCCGAGCCCTGCGTTCACCTTGGCGGCCTGGGCCCGATGGGGCGGCAGCCCGCGGCGCGACGCTGGCCTGCACGCCTGCGCTGCTGGCGCTGCCGCCAGGACTGTCGCCCCCCCCGAGTTGTCTAGCGGCCCTGTCCCCGTCGCCAAGGCTGGGGGCCCGAAGCGCTCGGAGCCCGCGCGGACAGCCGAGCGCGGCGCGGTGGGCCCCCGCGCGTGGTGCTTCAGGCGGTGCCCCCACAAGCAGACCACGTCGTAGGCCAACTTCCGGTCGCGGCTCCGTTCGAGGCAAGCCTGCCCACTGGCCCGGGAACTGGTGCTCGGCGGTGACCAACGTAACCTTGTCGGGCCCCTCCACTGGAACGCCGGTCGCGCCGCCGCGCTCCGAGGAGCTGCTCGCCAACCCCCGCTGCTGCCCCCCACTGGGAGGCGCTCTCGCCTCTTAGCGGTTCGTTGCCCCTTCCGCCCCC